TATATCAGACAGAAAAATATTTTTCATTACAAATAATTAAAGGAGTTCCTCAGCACAGATTATTTCATCAGCTGTTCTTAAACTCCCCACTGATATAGATCAGCATTATTAATAGCCAAGCCTGCTGTCTTTTCACCAAATGCTGGCATATGACAGCGCCCCATAGCAAATGTTAAGCTGAAGTCTTAATTGTATATGATACAACTGCTAGGGCTGCAGTACCTTTTGGACATAGAACAATGGTTTTTCTTGCTTTGAACTTCCCCAGTTCAAAACTTTTCTATGTCAATAAAGAAAAGCAAGCATGTAATAACTGTGTTTATGGCTATTGGAACTAGACAAGACTCTACCCCCATCATAAGTTTAAACCACTTTTCTGGTATAAAAACAAAAAAAGTAAATGCAAAAATGACTTCCCTTTAGAGATTAAGTAGAATTACACTCACTTGTTTTAACCAACATCTAAAGCAAAAGTGCGGCTCACTTCAGCTAGATTCAAGATAAAAAGGAACAACCCATAATCTGCAGAGCACAAAGACACTGTAGGCACTGTCAGCTATAAGCTGACCCTAAGTCTGAGCTCAACTGTAAAAAGTATATAAACATTCATAAATGTCACAATAACCTATTAAAACAAATGTTAAAGACGGACAGCTCACTCAAAAATGTTGAATTAAGCCACACAAAAGGCCTACCAATATAACTCAAAGATGCTGTTCAATCTTGTTTAGCAAAACAAGGAAATATAAATTTAACAATAACAACCAAAATTAGAGTGTCAATTATTAAGCCTAATTAGTGAACAAAATAGTCCATCAAGAAAGCCTTTTTTGAGTCCTAAAATAAAAGGAACTTGGGGGAAAATACAGGGCATGTCTACACAGCAGTATTATTTCGGAATAACTGATGTTATTCCAAAATAACAAAGAGTGTGTCTATACTATAAACCTTTATTTCAAAATAACGTTGAGCTGGAAGACTTCTTGCTCTGACTCATGGTAACCCTCATTTGATGAGGAGTAAGGGAAGCTGAAGGAAAAGTGTTCTTCCTTCGACTTCCTGCTGTGTGGACAGTGCTAAAGCTGAATTAAGCTATTTTGACTTCAGCTAAGCAATTGACATAGCAGAAGTTGCACAGCTTAATTCAACTTCAGCCCTGCCATAGATTGGCACTCAGTTGATACTATCACCTCTATTGCCTCCAGCTGAATCCCTTACAATCTTGAATTACACTAGAAAAACATCTCCAGCTCATCTCATCTCAATTAATTTATTCTCTTTTATCCAAAAGAACAGTTATTGCCATCTTTTATACCCTCTAAAAGACTGACAAGCAACGGTTCTCCCCCCTCTAAAATGTTCTCCAACCAAAAAGGAAAACAATATTATTAAAATAAAAGCCTACTTTAATCTATACATTTCAAATGTTTTAACTGTATTTCCTTCTTTATTTTTAATAAGTCAAAAGTGTTTTAGTAGTGTATTTGCTGTAGTACTAAGGATTACAAACCCCAGACCTCATTTAACACTGTTTAATGTTAAACAGCAACAAAGCTTGTTAATATCTTTAGTCTATATATTACATCTAATACAACACTCCTTCCCACCCCATTCTCTTGGCTAGGAGTTTTATGGCACAGAATCTTCTTAGAGAGATGGCACAGAATCTTACCTAAAATGTGTGTAATATTTTAAAATACAGGGGTAAAAAAAAATATTTAAAATTGCAAGATTAAAGTTGTCTTGTTTCCTGCAACTTTCTCCTGACCCTGATTTTAAGGAAAAGGTGGTTTAGAGAAATTTGCTGTTTGTGTTTTATTGAGACACTTGAAATCTCCCAAATGTAGATCTCAGCAACAGTGTCCCCTTGCTTGAGCCTTCTGGTCAGGCTAGACAAGAGAATGAATGTGCACTGATGTCAGAAATAGTGGCAATACTAATAAAATCTGCTAAAAATCTTAGCAGATGGCAGTCGAGGGGGGGAAGGGGCATGTTCAAAAATTCCCTTCAAGCATTTGTAGCTCTGTTTGAATATTGTTTCCCCAAACCAAACTAAAGCACTGACTCTCAATGGCTATGACCCTTCCATGTTTCAAACTCACCCCACTTTTTGTTCTGCTCTTCAAAAAAATTGTCTTCCATTTCAAAAGTGTAATGTTTTCTCTCCCCTATAATTGAAACAATAGCTAAGAGGGGGTTTTGCCTCCTCTTTCTCCCACAGTTTCAACCTCCCTTACCTGCCCCACTCCTACCCTCATTTTTGCTTCCTCCTCCCAGCACAGATTTGAATCCCTAAATTACTGGTACACAGAGCCATCCCTAGTGGGGTTTGGGGCCTGGGACAAATCAGCCTGTGTTTCTAATCTGCCAAAAAATGCTCCACTGCAGTTCCACTCAAGCCCTTCTTCTGCTCCCCTCCTTTACCCAATGCCCCATTTGTCCCCACTCCCACTACTTCCTCACCCTTTCCTTCCCAATTCCACCCCTCCTCCTTCTCCTTCCCAGCATCTCCTCACAACGCAAAACAGCTGATCTGAGACAAGTGGTAGGCACAGGTAGGGAAGAGGAAGTGCTGATCCGAGGGGCCCCATCAGTGGGAAAGAGGCACTGATAGGGTGCTGCCCAGTATGTGTTCAGCATACACCATTTTTTTTAATCATAGCTGCTCCAGCCCCATGGACAGAGACCACTCTGCTCGTACATACCCTCAAATTTTAAACTGATTTTAACAGAGATATTTTTTGTCCGAGAACAATATTTCAGAAAGTCTAGAGGAACCAGTTAATTTCAAGGCTTGTAAGAAAAAGAAAAAGAAAAAGGAAAAAAAAAAAAAAGAGCACAATCCCAGATCCTCCCACTGATTAGAGATCCATGTGGAGCTCAGTCACGGTGCTTTAAAACAATATTTTGTATATCTCCAGGGTACTTAGGGCTGTGTCTCCATAACATCTTAAACAATACACTACAATATCCATTACATAAAACACATCATGAATGCAATGGGCTTAAACTGCAGCAAGGGAGGTTTAGGTTGGACATTAGGAAAAAGTTGCTAACTGTCAGGGTAGTCAAACACTGGAATAAATTGACCAGGGAGGTTGTGGAATCCCCATCTCTGGAGATATTTAAGAGGAGGTTAGATAAATGTCTATCAGGGATGGTCTAGGCAGTATTTGGTCCTGCCATGAGGGCAGGGGACTGGACTCAATGACCTCTCGAAGTGCCTTCCAGTCCTCGTATTCTATGATTAATTTCATTCATGTATGTCATCAAAATACTCTGCAAACATGTGTGTGAATATATAGATATATATAGTAAATCATACCTGCAGCCAAATATCAAAGCTAATAAAATTATGTGTTTTGGATTTGTGTGTCAAACTACATTTGAAAAGGACCAGTGACGGAAGCATACAGCATGCTGGTATTCAGTTTGTTCAGTATAAAAATGAGAGCTATGTGCCATGCTCATTTAGTTCAGAGCAATACCATGCCAGCAATTTTACTGATGATTTTCCATTTCTTTGCTATTGGAAAATTAATATTTTATTTAACAATGTGCAATAGAGAGTGATGATTTCTGAGAAAGATTCACATACTCTAAGCTAGAAGCCAAAAAGATTTAAATGGAAATTTTGTCTGTATGTGATGATGGTGACTCCTAGGCCCTTTCTACAGCAGGAAAGGACAGATTAGCCCATACATGTCACTAAAGACCTTGGAGAGTGCAGATCACACACAGATACTGCTGGATGGGAAGGGAGGGTGAGCTAGAGAGTTCCTGGCAGCTGTAGTTCACAATGTGTCCTGAAGGAAGAAGAAGGTGGTGCACAAGAAGACTCCCTGTAAACCAGGAACTAAGCATCAGGCTGTCTCTCCCTCTGGATCCCTGGGCTCCAAAGGGGAGGGGAAAGTGTCTGGGTTGAGGGAGGCATGTTTGGGCTCTGAGGGAGGAGGTGGTGCAAGTCTCTGGGCAAGAGGGTGAGGGCCCCATGGCTGGATTCTGAAGGGGTGCAAGTATCTCAGCAAGGGGGAGCAAAAGATCTGCCCCCATGTCTGAGCTCAGGAGTTGGGGGAGGAGACAGATTAACATGAACTGAGTTGTCATAGGGGTTTCTTTAATTCTCTGCTCCTAGGTGAATGAGTGAGTGAGTGTGGTTACAGACATACTTGTTGACAAATATTTTAAAATAAATTACAAAAATAATTGAAACATGCATGATTATGTAGTGTTATTGTGACACAAAATTTTCAGAATGTTATGTGCCAGGAGTAACAACATGTAGACACTTTCTTCTAAGGAAGGGTACGTCTAGACTACATGCCTCTGGCGACAGAGGCATGTAGATTAGGCTACCAGACATAGTAAAATGAAGCGGCGATTTAAATAATCGCCGCTTCATTTAAATTTACATGGCTGCCGCGCTGAGCCGACAAACAGCTGATCAGCTGT